AGGTGTGGAAAGGAAATGTCAGAACATGAAAATACATTTAGTTTTTACCTATTTAAGTAAAGGGAAACAATAATATTTTACTAATGTTTGTGCTTTGAATTGTTATTAATACAGGTTTTCAGTTTAAAAATTATACTGCATGGGACGCCTGGGTGGCTCAGGGGTTGAGCATCTGCCTTTGGCTCAGGGCGTGATCCTGGAGTCCCAGGATCGAGTCCCACGTTGGGCTCCCTGCATGGAGCCTGCTTCTCCCTCTGCCTGTGTCTCTGCCTCTCTCTCATCTCTCATGAATAAATAAATAAAACATCTTAAAAAAATAAAATAAATAAAAATTATACTGCAGGCTGATGCTCAAAATGATTTTTCACTGAATAGGAGTCTGATCAAAAATGACTGGAGACCAAGGGATGCTTTAAAACAGTGGCTTCCAAACTTCATAGTCTTGGGACCCTTCACACTCCCTTTACGTAGGACCCCAAGGAGCTTTTGAATATATGGATTATACTTATAGATATTTATTCTGTTGAAATTAACTATATTAAAAGCTGAGAAATTTGAAAATATTTGTTTAGTAATTCATTTAAAGATAATAAACAAACCTAGTACACATTAAAATAAATAATGTACTTATTATGAAAATAACTCTATTTTCCAAAGGAAAAACAGAAGTTAGTGAAGAGAGCTGCATTATTTTACAGTTTTGCAAATCTCTTCAATGTTTGGCTTCTTAGAAGACTTCTGGATTCTCATATTGGCTCTGTACACAGTCATTGCAATCTGTTTTTTGATTGAAGTGTGTGAAGTAAATCTCATCACACACGAAGATGTAGTAGGGATTAGTTTTTAATAGCCTTTTCAGGTAATTATAGATATTGTTCTTTGATGCTGTACCAAAACTTGATGAGTGATGACTTTCCAAAGCTGATTGTAATATGGAACCTGATGTCATGTCAATATACTTTTCATATTCTGTTATGTTAAACCCACTTATTTATTCTGTTCTTTCTTTCTTTCTTTTTCTTTCTTTCTTTTCTTTCTTTTTCTTCCTTCCTTCTTTCCTTCCTTCCTTCCTTCCTTCCTTCCTTCCTTCCTTCCTTCCTTCCTTCCTTTTGTTCTTTCTTTTGTTCTTTCTTCCTTAAATACTTAACTTTTATTTTTTCAAATTTTTACTTAAATTGTAGTTAGTTCACATTTGGCACAATATTGATTTCTGGAGTAGAATTCAGTGATTCATCACTTACCTACAACACCCAGTGCTCATCACATGCCCTCCTTAATACATATCACTTAGGTAACCCATCCCCCATCTACCTCCCTCCGTCAATCCTCAGTTTGTTCTCTATAGTTAAGAGTCTCTTAGGGCTTGTTTTCCCAATCTCCATTTTTTCTTTTCCCCCTTCCCATATGTTCATTTGTTTTCTTTCTTAAATTCCACATATGAGTGAGATCATATGGTATCTGTCCTTCTCTGACTGACTTATTTTACTTTGTATAATACTCTCTAGCTCCGTCTACATGTTGCAAATGGCACATTCTGCACTTTGGATTGTCATTCAAGCCTGATTGTGTACTATCGTGAACTGGTTATTTGAAAAATATTGGTTCACTGAGTTATGACAGAACTTATAAAAGTCGACAAATTTCATTATACAACATCAAAAATCACTTTGGTTACTATCAGCAACAGACTCATCAGAAAATCTTTATGTGTTGGGAAGTTGTCCAAATTCATGGTCATGGATACAAGTTTCCTAAAATTCTATTTTTTTTTTCTGGAATGTTTGGATTTTATCATTGGTAACAATTACTGCCAGTTGTCACCCTTAGTTTGTTTTCAAAAAATTTTTTGCCACATACCCAAGTCTAAGTAACCATAGTTTATCTGTCAGATATTCTTTCGAATACAAACAGGGTTACATGGGAGAAGAGAGGCTGTTTGAGCTGGCTACTAAAACAATTGTTTAAGGGCTTTTCCTTTTAACAATTGTTGTCATCCAAAGGAAGCATTTTTTAGAAATTTTCTTCATTTTTAATGTGAGTATATGGCTATGCAGCATATTTTGATACCAAAGTTTGGTACCAAAACCTTGATTTGTGCCAGGGCCCTTGTGGTTTTACTCACCGTCTCTTTTGCTCGGTCAGTGTAAATGCAAACACAGTGAAAGAGATGGCCAGTAATACTAACAAAAGCAGAGATCATGTTAGTATTACAGTAGTCCCCACTTATCCATGGGAGATACGGCCCACGATCAACAATGAATGTCTGACCACGTGAATAGTAATAAACCCTATGTTTTCTCCTATACGTATACACCTATGATAAAGTTTAATTTATAAATAAGGTAGAGTAAGAGATTAACAATAATAGCTAATAATAAAATAAAACAATTATAACAATATGCTGTAATAAAAGTTAGGTGAAGTGGTATCTTTCTCAAAATACCTTATTGTACTGTACTCACCCTTCTTGTGATGACGTGAGATGACAAAATGCCTGTGTGATGAGAGGAAGTGAGGTGAATGGTGTAGGCACTGTGACATAGCATTTGGCTACCACTGACCTTCTGACCACATGTCAGGAGGATCATCTGCTTGTGGGAATGGTTGACTGCAGGTAACTGAAATCATGGAAAGCAAAACTGTGGATAACAGGAGACTAATGTCATAACTAGGAGACCAGTTATGAAACTAGTTTGACTTTATGCACTCCAGAAAATATCTTGGAGATTCTAGGGATCCTCTTTAATAACTTCCAGTTTAAGGTTGGCCTGATACGATGTAGGAAGGCATCATGCTACCTTTTTGAAAAGCTTAAGAAGAAAGCATTTCAAATTTCTGCTACATTTAAAAATAGTGAAATAACCTTAACTGAAATCCATGGCCTTTAAATAATTTTTTAAAATGTCTTTTTTTGGGTCTCAGGCTAAAGTTTAAAATTTGCTGTTTCAACTTTTCTGACATTGACATTTAGCGATCAGAAATGCCTTTTTTCCCCCTTGTCTCTAATGCCTGACATTTGACAGAGCCCTGACAAATAAATCACAAAAAAGTAAATTCATTCCCCCTCCCAAGGCTTCCTGAAGTATAGTCTCAGTTAAGGGTGACATTTTTTTGGTTTCGAAATTGATTGTTTAGAAACAGTTTTATTTCATATCTTGAAGTGTCCTATATATATGTAGTAACTATATAATCAATGCAACTCATGTTTTAGTTGATGAGATATTTTTTTCCCTTAAATCATATAAGAAGGGCACTTTATTCTAAAAGGTTTCCTTGAAAGTGTAATTGTTTTAGTCTATCTTATTTAAGAAGACTTTTTATGGAATCACAGATGATCCTCTGAGTCTTAGATTGTTTAAAATTGTTAATTTCCTAAAACTTGCAGTATATTTGTGAAGCCCATGTATTCTTTCTTTTTTTTTTTTTTAAGATTTTATTTATTTATTCATGAGAGCCACACAGAGAGAGAGGCAGAGACACAGGCAGAGGGAAAAGCAGGCTCCATGCAGGAGCCATACGTGGGACTCAATCCCAGGAATCCAGGATCAGGCCCTGGGCCCAAGGCAGCGCTAAACCGCTGAGCCACCTGGGCTGCCCTGTAAAGAGATTTTTAAACTAAATTAAAGATGTTTTGCTCCTAAATGGGGTAGCTAAGCCACCCAGGGATCCCCCCATGTATTCTTTCTAATCATAGTTTATGTATTAATTAAAAGTAATGAAAATGATCTTATTTCATTTAATGGGCCATGGTTAAATCTGGTTTTTAAACTATGGCTTATGTGTTGTTTATAGAATGATCCTCAAGAGCAGATGCTGTTTCAGAAGAAAGGCAAAAAGTCATGAGTTAAGAGCCAGAGGAAAATTTTATGAAAAACAAACTGTGTTTATCAGGTGCTATATAGAGAAGAAAAGATTAAGCTAATAAACAAATGGCTTAGAGAAATCTGGAGATGAATATTGCCCTTGGGTCTCAAGAAAGGAAAATTTAGTAAGGTATTTTTTTAATTATAAAAGAATCTCAAATCTACAGAAAAATAGAGAGGCATAGAGCAAACAACTGTACACTTCACTTAAATAGTTGCTAATATTTTATTGTATTTGCTTTTTTTGTTTTTTGGGTTTTTTTGTAAAGATTTTTTTTTAAGATTTTATTTATTTATTCATGAGAGACACACAAAGAGAGAGACAGGCAGAGACATAGGCAGAGGGAGAAGCAGGCTCCATGCAGGGAGCCCGATGTGGGACTCGATCCTGGGTCTCCAGGATCAGCCCTGGGCTGAAGGCAGCGCTAAACTGCTGAGCCACCTGGGCTGCCCTGTAAAGATATGTTTAAACTAGGTTAAAGACCTTTTGCTGCTAAATGGGATAGTTTTTTATCTGTGAAAGAAAAAAAAAAACCTTATGAATATATATTTTGCTGTGATGGGATGATCTGTGAAGCCCAGAGGACCTGAGGGGGCGCCTTTGTTTTGTAGACTGGGGTGTACAAACTATAAGCTCTCACAAAATAGCTTGGAAGGGTGAAGGGAACTTGCTCAGATTGTTTAGAGCAGTTTGAGGAGGAAGGACACTGAGCTGAGGGCAAGGACGTGGAACAGAGATAGAATGGGCACATATGATTAAATTTTACTATTTGGTGACTTAACCATTTTCTCTATCTGCCCTTAATGTCTTGATTTAAATTTTATAGTATTCATTCATGCTTCAGAAATTGGACTTTTTTTTTACTTGAGCCCAACCTTAGGAAGGGTGTGGAGTGAGAACTGAGTCTACCCAAACATGTTCATTGTTGCTGTACAACTGACATTAAAGGATCTGGGAATTCGTACTCTAAAGAGTTTTAGCCAGTCAGTAACAGAATGACCTATTGGAGATACCTAATTATTCTTTTTTCTCTTCTTCTTCTTCTTCTTCTTCTTCTTCTTCTTCTTCTTCTTCTTCTTCTTTGCATTGAAGTAACATTGTCTGTCTTAATTTATGTAATGTCTTCTTATGTTTAGGACTCGGATGTGGTTTACTATACACGGCAACAGTGACCATTACGTGCCAGTATTTTGACAGCCACCGAGGCCTTGCCCTTGGCCTGATTTCAACAGGTACTTTTCAAAATAAGTTAGCATTGTTACTATCCAGCCTTCTAATTAAAATAAAAAAGTTACCAAACAGAGATACGTCTAAAACAACCACTTCCCGGCTGCCACTTAGGTAGCACAATTTTTTTACTCTAGGCTAAGAAGGAAATTTTATTTTCCACTGTAAATAAGGGTATAGCTTCCAGAAAATCTTAAGATACATATACAAAAAATCTGGGGCATTTAATGGCCAATATAATAAAGGAACGAAAAGCTTATAGGCCTAGTCAATTGAGAGTCACAAGCTGGTGAGAGCTTGACTCAAAGAAGCAGAGTGGACTATGTAAGTCACCTTCTCTTTGAAAGGTGTAGAAGAAATGCCAGGAAAATGGAGCTGCGGGCACTGTCAAGAAGCCTGATGCTGACTTCTCGTTGTCTCCATTTACTGCACAGGGTACAATTTTTCTAGAGTACTGATTTATGAATGCATCTCACTGGCCGTGTGCATATCCAAATGTCAGGCTGTTTACTCTTGTTCTTCCCTTAATAATCAAGAGATGATCACTGGTGGGAAATGTAAATATAAAAGCCTTCTGGACTTTCTCCACTGTTTTATTTTTATTTTATTATTTTTTTTCCTCCACTGTTTTTAAAGTGGGGTTGCACTTTTCAGATGGATTTTTTTCCTAAACAGTTTAGGGAACTTATCAAAATTTTCTGCAGCCAATATCTTATGAGTTTGCTTAGGAGACAGAATTGCCAAGTTTAATAAAAGTTGTACGTTTATATATGTAACTCACTTGTTAATAAGCATGTATTCCTGGGAGGTCAGACTTCCAGATAACTGAATAAGTTCAATGATCTTTCTGGCAACAGAATCCACACTAATGTTTTATTCCTGAGACCAACCCAGTGGCGACAAAGTGATTCCAGATTGAATTAAATGGAGCAGGATATTTACCAAAGGTAGTTGAAGGAAGCATTGCCAGGTGCGAAATGTGAATCATGGTCTGAGAGGAGACAGGGCCAGAGTCTGAGGACACAGTGAGTTTGAAGCAGAACTGGGAGATGAAATAGCAAAAGCAGAAGACAGAGAATCCAAAGCAGTTGGGATATAATTCAAAGAACCTTCCAGGATCTCCTGCATATGTGGGAGGGAGCGGAAGGGTAGGCATGAGCTTGAAGGACAATAGGTCTTACCTGCACTGTATTTTGTCTTTTTTTTTTTAAGATTTTATTTATTTATTCATGAGAGACACAGAGAGAAAGAGAGGCAGAGACACAGGCAGAGGGAGAAGCAGGCTCCATGCAGGGAGCTCGACATGGGACTTGATCCCAGGTCTCCAAGGATCACACCTCAGGCTGCAGGCGGCACTAAATCGCTGTGCCACCGGGCCGCCCATGTATTTTGTTTTTTAAAGATTTTATTCATTTATTCATGAGAGACACACAGAGAGGCAGAGACACAGAGAGAGAAGTAGGCTCCTCACAGGGAGCCTGATGTGGGACTTGATCCTGGACCCTGGGATCATGCCCTGAGCCAAAGGCAGATGCTCAACCACTGAGCCACCGAGGCATCCCTGCACTGTATTTTTGTGCAGGCATTGTAGTGTAACCACAAGCACAGACCCTGGAGCCAGACCACTAGTTTTGAATCCACTAGGATTCAAAACCGGTCAAAGCCAGACCGGTTTTGAATCCTGCCTGTATCACTCACTTGCTCTCTGGTGACAGACAAGTTATCTAACTGTTCTGTTAAGTGAACTGTTGAGTTAAGCCTCAGTTGTCTGAACCGTAAAACGGGGATGATAATAGTACTCATCACATCAGGTTATTGGGAATATTAAAGCAGCATATGTGTAAGGCACATACCAAGGGCTCTAAAAGCAGAGAGTATTATAATTATGACCTAAGTCTCCCCTAATGTCCAAATTTATGTGTGCTGAAGATGCCAGAAATTGTATGCTGTATGCTTGCACTGAGTCTAGAAAGGAGGGCATAAGGACCTCGCATGGCACACTGAAGTAAAAATGGATCGACTGCACAGTTAAGATTTGGAAGAATTAATGAGTTTTTAGTTTCAACTCACAGGGGGCTAAGGGAGACAAAATTAAGGAGAACCATAGATCTGCTTCGTCTTTTTGGTCTATGGTAACAGAGTACCATAGACTAGGTGGCTAATCTACAACAGAAATTTATTTCTCAGTTCTGGAAGCTGGAAATCCCACATTGAGATGCTAGTGTGTTGGATTCTGTGATAGACCTCTTCCAGGTTGTATATTACCATATTCTTGCTGTTTTCTCACATGGTGGAAGGGGAGGGAACCTCTCAGGGTCTCTTGGATATGGGTGCTACTCCCACTCATGAGTGCTTCATGGACTCATGACCTAATCACCTCCCAAAGGCCTCACTTCCTAATACCATCAAATTGGGGGTTAAGATTTCAACATATGAATGGGGGGGGGGCACAGACGTCTGACCTATAGCATCCACCATTGGTGAAAGATGACAAGCAAAACAAAACTCAAAGGAGAATTTTTTAAAAATTGAAAAGAAACCAAAAATAAAAATATGTGAAATATTGTGACCGCACTGAAAAAAGGAACATGGGCATGAAACAAAGGTTTTGGGGAAGTGATCTTTTTCCCTGGTGAAGAAGGGTTGGTAACTAATGTCTGCAGGCCAGATCTGGTCTACTGCTTGTTTTTGGAGAGCTCCTTAGCTAAGAATGATTTTTACATTTTTATATAGTTAATTTAAAAAATGAAAATAAGGATATTTCAAAGCCTATGAAAATTATGTGAAATTAAAATTTCAATGTCCATAGACAAAGGTTTATTGGAATATAACTATGCTCCTTGGCTTAAAAATCTTTACAATTCTTCTGTGGCCTATATTAATAATGGTTATTATGAGAGTCCCAAATTATAAGAGGTTAAGATTAAACAGCTCCCATTTCCTTTTTAGGTTCAAGTGTTGGACTTTTTATATATGCTGCTCTGCAGAGGTTACTGATTGAGTTCTATGGGCTGGATGGATGCCTGCTGATTGTGGGTGCCTTAGCTTTAAATATATTAGCCTGTGGCAGCCTGATGAGACCCCTCGAATCTTCTAATTGCCCTTTGCCTGAAAAAACAGCTCTGGAAAGTATACCAGATCAATACTCCATTTACAGTGAAAAAGAAAAGGACCTGGAGGAAAACACAAACATTCTTGGAAAGAGCTACAGTGCCGAGGAAACATGCAAGAGCATCTTAGCCAGTGGTGGCCGGAAACAGGAGAGTCTGCTTCATAAAAACCCAACAACAATGGCACATGCAAAAGAGGCTGAAACGTACAAAAAAAAAGTTGCAGAACAGACATATTTTTGCAAACAGCTTGCCAAGAGGAAGTGGCAATTATATAAAAACTACTGTGGAGAAACTGTGGCTCTTTTTAAAAACAAAGTATTTTCAGCGCTCTTCATTGCAATCTTTCTTTTTGACATCGGAGGATTCCCACCTTCGTTACTTATGGAAGATGTGGCAAGAAGTTCAAATGTGAAAGAAGAAGAGCTTATTATGCCTCTTATTTCCATTATTGGCATTATGACAGCAGTTGGTAAACTCCTTTTAGGAATACTGGCTGACTTCAAGTGGATTAATACCTTATATCTTTATGTAGCTACCTTAATAATCATGGGCCTGGCCTTGTGTGCAATTCCATTTGCCAAAAGTTATGTCACATTGGCAATACTTTCTGGGATTCTAGGGTTTCTGACTGGTAATTGGTCCATCTTCCCATATGTGACCACAAAGACTGTGGGAATTGAAAAATTAGCCCATGCTTATGGGATATTAATGTTCTTTGCTGGACTTGGAAATAGCCTTGGACCACCAATTGTTGGTAAGATATTTCTTAAAGCCAACCTATTTTACTGTTTTTTGTAACATCTCTGGATATAGAAATCCAGATTGAATAGTGGCACATATTAGCACAAAATAAATCTGCAAAGATGTCTCATGGTAATGATTTATTCACAATCACTTTGATATAGTTGAGAAGGCCAGTATAGTTGCTCCAGGACTTGTGTTCATTTTTTTATTTGAGAGAAACTCAAAATGCCTGTTTATCCTTGTCCAAATTATTTGGGAGGTTCTCCTCTGCTAACTCCCAGTAGTCAGCTGTAGAGTGCATGGGGTAATATATATCCTAATCCTTACTGTCTCTAAGATTGAGGAAATTAGTGAATGGGCTTCCTCTTCATCCTATTTATATCAAATTCACTTTTTTCTTACTCTCTTTTCAGGTTGGTTTTATGACTGGGCCCAGACATACGACACTGCGTTTTATTTCAGTGGCTTCTGCGTCCTGCTGGGAGGCTTCATCCTGTTGCTGGCCGCCTTGCCCTCCTGGGACACATGCAACAAGCTGCTGCCTAAGCCAGCTCCAACAACCTTTCTGTACAAAGTTTCCTCTAATGTTTAGAGGAATATTGGAAGGCACTACAGACTGTTTTCTCATAGCAAAATTTCACTGTGGCTGATTCTGAATGAATTTTTTTTTAACAAATCCTATTCTCTATGTACTGTATATATGGCTTCTATCTCCTGTATATATATTTTTCCCTTTTTTCTTTTTTCAAGAAGTGGGACTATTCTGTTTTACTATTACTCCTGAGTTCTTGATGTTGTAAAAATTTTGGCCCACCTCGGAAGGCTATCTCTGTATAAAGAGATATAATTTCTCTGTAGGATCCGTTAGTTCCACTGCAAGGCACCCAGAGGGGGCTCTTCTATTTTAAGCCTGATGCAGGCAGCATGATGAGATACATATGAAGGCTGCTATGGGCCTAAATCCGTCTCTTCTCTATAGTAGACCTGCTAGTATGTGAAAACATTTACAAAAATGGCATTACGAATTCCAGTGGAGCAAGCCGATCTTTCTTTTTCAAAGCTATTTTAAATTACAGTCATTAGTTTTCACTATTTGGTTTTATTTACCTTGAGGCAGCACCCCATGTTTGGACCCACTGAGTTTAAATTGTTTCAGTTCCTAAGGTGTTTGCTGAGAGAGAGGCAGTCTCCAAGCAGGAGCACTCACCACAGCCTTGCTTCATGATTGGCTGCCATAACCATGCTCACTTTTCTGTCAGCATCCACTCAACTGATGTTTCTCAGAAAGTGCTGATTTTACCTGTTTCCAAATTGGAAATGTGTAAACCATTCCGTTCTGGCAAATGGGAAACATCCATCTGCTTTGGGCACAGTGGGGATGAGTCACAAATCCTTGCATTACTTCTCAACAAAGCGTTTATTTGCCACTATCAGATTTTACCACTATTAAATTTTAATTCAAGGGCAGAACTAAAATGTGTGTGTGTGTGTGTGTGTGTGTGTGTGTGTGTGTGTGTGTGTACTCCAAGTCTGTATGAGACATAGAAAGAGAATAAGGAATGGCAATAAGAAACTGATACCCTGATCCAACTTTATTCAATCTGAAGAAAAACTTTTTTGGAAGAAAATCAATGTTTAATAAATGGACATTTTTCTAAAGAAATATTTTTTTAACTTTGCTATATGTTGGCATCTTCTGGATCCTTTAAAAAAATATAGTTGCCTGAGTACTACTCATAGAGATTTTAATTCTATAGGTCTAGGCTGTGGGCCAAGCAACAGTATTTTTAGTGAACTCTTGAAGGAATTTTAACAGCACAGCCAGGTGGAGAATGGTAGTTATAAGACTGGCAATGGGAAAACAATCATTCTCTTAAATACTAACAAAAAAGCAGTTTATTGAGGTGAGGGGGGTTTTATAAATAGCCAACTGTGGTTCTTTAAATAGGACGCACTGTTCTTATTGTGCCAAAATTGTCTTTTCATTTCTTTTGAAATATGTAAGATTTTATACTTCTATGTTGCCTTTCTTGGAAGGCGTCTGAAGCACTTTATAAGCATGAAGGCCCACCACACCTCAGTGAGGTAGGTAGATAGTGCTTTTCTATGCAGTAAACCCGGAGTGTGGGGCGATTTCACAACTGAGTTAACCCTACTCAATAATGCAATAATGGGACTCCAAAGTGCCTTGGACTTCTACACCATACTCAGACTTCTGGAAAGTTTTCTGTACCTCATTCTTTAGTGACTGTCAAGGTTAAGAAATAAAAGAAGTGACATTTTTAAAAAGTTAAACTAAATATTTTTGTGTTGAAAGTTCCTTTGTGCCAACATTATATTCAGGACATCCTATAACCTGAAAAATTAGTTTAACTTTCATGACATCCCCACATTCATCAATGTTGATAATTGTCCAAATGCATCTTCACTTTGTCTACTAATGTCATCCAGTGTGTGCATTTTCCCTAGGGAATGAATTTTTCATTACAATAAAATATTTCTTTGGTTTGTTTTGCATTGGTTTGGTTGCTTTTTTCTCTTCTTAGCCGTCCTCCCCCTGCATTGCAGCGACATTTCATTTGAATGTAAAAAAATTAATTATCACATGTTCACTCCAGGCCCAGAATTTGGTGAGTGGACCTCAGCTTATTCAAGTCGATCTGCTATATTATTTTGACCGCTGCCTTCCAAGAAGCTGTCATGATATGGGCAACATATATAAGTAACTTCCAAAAGCAAAATGAAAAAAGCTTCTAGTAATCCCTTGATTTCGTTATAACATGGCTAGGAAATGGGGCTTAGGTGGGAAGGTTGCAATAAAGCCAGTTCTTTATTGAATAGGTAAGTCATGTTTATGTGAATAATTATTCAAGAGGTGCCCATTTCCTAAGAATTAGCATTTTTTTAAGTTTATGCATTTGTTTATAAAAGGGGCTGAACTCATTACTCTGGGATCCAGAGTCCCCTGCTCTTCTTCTACTGAGCCCACCAGATGCCCCAAGAATTAGCATTTTAAAAACACACTTAATGAAATTATATTGATTAGAATACAATCTTTCTTTTGTGACTCTAAAGGTATATTTTGACCTTCCAAGTGCCTGCTGCTGAGCTGGGGAAAGATGTGAAGTAAGAAACTTTTGTTAGCTCTCCTCTTTCCCTTCAGCCTTCTGCCTTACTCTGATTCTCTCACCATTTAGCCTCCTGGGAGCCAGTTGCTGAACTAATTTTCTCGAGGGTGACTCTGTCATCAGGAGAGAAGTTTCAGCCACCAACTTTTAAAAGCCCCACGAGGACCAATTCCCAAGAACCAGGAGTTGTAGCACTTCGAGGTCATGACCTCACGGTCTTCCCTAGTGTTGTGGGGCCAGAAAGTCTCCTGACCTCAGAAAGCCTCAACTTTCAGCAATCAATCCAGGATTATTTAAACTCAAGATGTTCCAGGAAATAAAGGGGAGCTCGCTTTTGAAGGAAAAAATGCCTCGCTTTTTTCCCCCTCTTAGTTAGGAGTATTATTTTAAACGCATAAAGTACACAGTTTACATTAGCAGTGCCATAAAATTTCTCCTTCATGAATAACTATCTTGGGAACTTTTGCTCCACAGTCCATTGTCTGAAGGATGCCAGTTAATAAAATGCCTCTTTGAGTCAGGAGTTCAACTACAGTCAGTTAAAATGATCAGAGATATTTGGACAATATTGACAGAGATAAATGGACAATATTCAGAGATGCAGTATGCTTACTTGTTAAGGCTCTGATTTCTAGGTTCAAATCCTAGCCCAGGTCCTGTACTAGGGTGATGTGAGCATATCACTGAGCCTCTCAAAGCCTTAGTTTCCTCTTCTGTCAAACTTGCCCCAGAGCTGTTAGGGGAATTAAATAACATAACCCGTATACATTCCTGGCACCCGTTCAGTAAATATTAGCTATTATTATTTTTGTTGCTATCATTATTCCTTAGTGTTGGCCTCTCAGTATCCAAGGCAGATGTCAAGTGTTCCTGGGCACAGGTATGGGGTAAATGCTTGCCTCAAAGGGCCTCATTTAGAGGAAGAATGAGTCTTCTGTTATGCCAAATTTGTACAGCTCTCACAGCTAATGCCCTCCCCCACGCATGTTCTTGTCAAAAACTTTTACCCTTAGGGATTCATGACTCAGCACATTTTTTTCTGGAATTACCATTGAGAGGCTCTGACACAAAACAAAACACAAGCTGTTCTTCCACAAATCGAATAAAATTCACTTTGGAAATTGAATTGCTATGGGAATTTGAACTTTTATTTCCTTAAGAACTCATCATCTGAGCTGTTAGGAAGGTGGGCCTGAAATTAGGCAGAAAGCAAAATGCTCACATTTGTTTATCGAACACTAATTGGCTTCAGCTCATGGCTCTTGCCTCCCTCTCCCTTCCTGGGACATCTTTCAGATTGACTCTTGGGGGAGTGTAATTCCTTACCAGGTCTTCTGGGATTCTATTCCTATCAGGTCTGTAACATTAGTTGCTTCTTACTACGTATATTCTTTGCCCTAAAGAGTGATTTACTTTTATTATCTCTCCTTCCAAAAATAAAAACAATATATATTTAGAATTTATTTTTTTTTCTAAATGATAGTCTACAAACATTGGCAAACAGCGTATTTTCTTTTTTTTTTAAGCAGATTTTTTTTAAGTGGGGGGAGGGGCAGAGGGAGCAGGAGAGAGAGAATTCCAAGAGGCTCCACACCCAGCCCAGTGAGGGCTCTCACAACTCTGAGATCATTACTGAACCGAATTAAGAGTTGAACACATAACCAATTGAGCCACCCAGGTGCCCCAAAAGCATATTTTCTATAATGAATAATTAACTGTGGTCAAGGTGTGCCCTGCTGTAGGTCACCTTAAAACTATAAAGCCCCGGAGATGTGTGCTTTTCCTTCCTGAAAAATGCCTCATGTGATAAGGCAAGCTGTCATTCCTCCAGCTTAGATCTGAAAGCTCCTCCATATCTGTTGCTTTAATAGGGCATTTGTCAGCATAGCCTAAATGACTCTAGAACCATAATAACCAAGGAGAATAGATGGCACTGGCTTACTAACCTCTAAAAGATGAAGGGCCAGGTTCAACAGTCCATTTTCATGTAATCACTATTGCTGCTGGGAGAGTGGCATTTTGAGAATTCCTAAGCAGGATCCCCTCCTGAAGGAAATTCTCCCTGAAGGTGAGGTGTGAACAAGGCCTGATGGAGAAGTCACCCGAAGCCAACAAGACTGCCATGCTGCACACAGAGTCAGGATGAGTTCACACCCCTGGACAGAACTGTTGAATGTCAGTTTGATAAAATGGGATAACATAGCGGACCCTCCTCTGCTCAAGACTGAACACAGCTGCAGCTTCCAAGTGGCATTTTAGCTGTCACTAGCTGAAAGGCACAAGTGAGGATAAGAGCTGGCTCTCTGGTTCGTTGTCAAAGCCCTGGGTAGTGGTGTGAACCAAGGAAAGGTGTCAGCAGAAGCATGAAGAAACCCCCACTGGCAGCTCTGATGGAACTGGGAATGGATGTTGCAAAGAACTCTGAAAGTGTGTGCATGTGTGTGTGTGTGTGTGAGAGAGAGAGAGAGAGAGACAGAGAGAGAGACAGAGACAGAGAGAGACAGAGAAAGAGAGAGCTGTAAAACTGTGGGTGTTTGAGAGAGATTCTCCTCATTACTTCAGCCTGCAGTCCACTGAGGCAATAGTTATGAAACTTCTCAAGAAGACCTTGTTTCAAGACCTGAGGCATCCCAGGCTTTCCAGAAACACCTGAAAATTGAAAATCTCCAGGTTGTTTTTAGGTAACAGGAAGCCTCCTTTAGCTGGGCTTCTTCAGGAAGTTGGAGATAAACTTCCTTTGTGGGATATTGGCTTTGCCTTAGGGGACTTTGCCCACTGGGGAGAGACCCTCCCTGACAAATTTTTGGGAGGGATGGGGGTTCTCAGTAGAGAAGACAGACAGAAGTTTAGTGCCTACTTAGCTGGGATTGTTCTGTGACTAGGATCATGCCCAGGAAATCCATGGAGCAACAACAGCTGTTGTAACTACCTGGGGTCTGGTAAGCTGAACATCCGGGATAGATGCTAACAAGAAAATAGCCTGGCATAGGGGGAAAAGCATGGGATCTGGAGTCCAACAGAGCAGGCGTGAGTTCTGAGCTCCTCCAAATACCATCTACTAGGTGAGTAATCTCAGTTTCATTTGTTAAACTCTCTTAGCTTCATTTTTGTTATTGTTGAACTATATTGTTGGAAGATTTAGAAATAGTAGATGCAAAATGTCCAGTATGTAGTAGTTTCTAAAAACATAGAAAACCTTTTTAACCTCTGCTCCCATAAAGTGAATCTGGTAGATTGGATTCTTATCTCACTGCTATATAATGTGGGCATATTATCAAACTATTCAGCAAACAATGTGTGCATAGTGATGGTATGGTAGGGGAGAGTGTATCACTTGCAGGGGCCATTCTAGCTTCTAGAAATACAAGAATAAATAAATAAATAAAATAAATAAATAAGAATTTTATGTTTCAGTAGGACCAACTGATATCCAGTAAAGTATAAATACAGAACTCACTTTTAAAAAATTTGCTTTTAATTTATATATTCATTCAACAAATTTTTATCTAGTACACACCATGTGGCAGGTACACAGGCATTAAGGTAATGGTGTTAAGACAAATGTGGTCCTTTTGTTCACAATGATTTCTTTTCTTTTTTTTTTTTTTTTAAAGATTTCGTTTATTTATTCATGAGAGACACAAAGAGAAAGGCAGAGACATAGGCAGAGGGAGAAGCAGGCTCTCTGCGGGAAGCCTGATGTGGGACTTCATCCCAGGTTCCTGGGATCATGTCCTGAGCTGTAGGTGGGCGCTCAACTGCCACCTAGGTGCCCCCACAATGATTTCTTCTAGCAAAAGTTAGATCCCATGGTACTCGAATTAGTAATTGTGCTTTAAGGCCAATTCTCTCTGTAAGATTGTCCTGGGGGAAGAAAAGGTATACATGTACATTTGCTGTGATAGTAGATGCGATAGTGTGCCACCTAGATACCCTTCAGTACTGGGCATTCATTTCCCTAGAGACTGGGATTGGCTACTGAGGGCTCACAGTGGAGTCCTGCTCTGGGAACTGCCTTCAGCTGGAAGGATCCTACTACCTCCTCAAGGAAGACAGTGTCTAGTGACCCTGGACTCAGTGGCTGATGAATGGCTTCTTTGACTAAACTTGGACTACTCCAGAGAGCCATCCCAGCTATAAAGCTTCCTCTAGAACCGAGGCCTCTGTTGGAATTGATTCATAGCTTAACTTTTCCCTCTGCCCCATCTTCCTTCCCTAACCTCTTTACAGGTGCTTTTCTGGAAAGCACTTCCCAGTAAACTTCCTGCCATGCAAATTGCATTGCACAGTTTGTTTTTCACCAGGAAACCTGACAGAAAACACCAGTAATTTCAATACAGTGGGATAAAGCCCTGCACACAGGGTGTTCAGGCACTCTCGCAGGCACCC